AAAATTTTGTGTTGTTATCACCTTCCTTTAGCCATCTAATTCTGGACCTTTGCCTCCAAAAAATTTCTTCCCTTCTAACAACCTTTTCCCAAGAAATCCTCAAAACTTCTCTTCTCCTTTTTCCATCTACATCCAAGGAAGGTACCTAACTGTTCTTTTTTATCTAGGTTTTCCAGCTCCGAAAGTATGGATCTCTTTTCCTCTATAAAGGATTGAAACTCTTCTTTTCCCCATGCCTTCAGATTTCTTTTTACATATTTCAATTTTTGAAGAAACCTGTAACTTGCCCAACCTTCTACTTTGCTTTCCTCCCACCAGGAAGCCACTTTCTTATGGAAGTCCTTGTGCAAGGTCCAAACTTTTTCTAGTCTAAACGGAACTTTTCCTTTCGGAATCTTGTCTGTCCGCAAGACTAGGGGCCAGTGGTCTGTAGTACAGCGAGGTCTAATTTCTTCATTGAGATCTGGAAACTGCTCTACCCAGTCTGGAGAAACCAAGAATATATCAAGTTTTCTTGAAGATTTGATCAGGTAAATTGGCCATTTTGGAGGGAGATCAAAAAGATTATGCCTGGAAATAAACTTGAGAAATCCTTCATACTTCTGGTCACTGATCTTCTGTTGGAATTTTCCTGGGAGAATCTTGTGACATTGAAGTCATCCCCTATGACCCAAGGAATATCATCATATTCATGCAGCGAACAGAAATAGTATACACTCCCTCCAAAATTCAATTAAAGCCATCGGATTTGTTACTGAAGAGAACAGAAATAGTATATACTCCTTTGTCTATCTCAATACCGGAAACTTCCTCTTCATTTCAGGCCAAGATGATTCCCCCCAAAGTGCCAACAGCAGGAAGAACAACCCAATTCTTTCCTTGAAGTCCCCAAATTGCTCACAACAACTTTCTATCCACCGCTTCTTTCTTAGTTTCTTGTAAGATAACTATATCTGGCCTTTCTCTTCTTAAAGTGTTTTTTTACCAGACTTCTCTTTATCTGACCTCCCAAACCTCTTACGTTCCAACTTAACAGCTTCATTTTGCTCTAGATACTGATTTTCCCTTATCTGACCTAGATCCAGAAATTTTGTTATCAGTTAAACCCCATTGAAGTCTCTTCAATTCTCTTTTTGAACTCCTTTTTCCACATTTCCCTGTGGCAGCTTTCCCGTTGCTACAACTTCCAATCTTTTGTCCCTTACTGAGAGAGGTTTCCTTTTCTCCACTTATCCCCAATTTCTTTGCCATGTCTAGGGTACCTTCTTCCGGTTGCTCGCCTCTTGTGTGACTATTTAAGCAAGCAGAACTACTTCCCGACTTTCCTTTATGATTTGGGTTGACACTTGGTTGAGAGAGCACACCATTCAAACCTGAAAAGCCAGAAGAGAAGGCACTGTGAGATGACGGATTAGCAGACAAAACTGATTGTGGAAAAGGTAACAAAGGAGAAGAGGGGAAGGAAACTCTAGAAGGATCGAGATGTTCAAGAGGAGAGATGGAAGGAGAAGGCGAGTCTCTTCCTTGGTCCTTCTCAAGGTTTGATGGATTGCAGTCCTTCTTGTAATCCGGATTAACTAGGTGCATCTGTTCAAGCAACTCTACACTCCCCCACGCTTGCCATTGAAAAGTTCTTTTGCTCTTGATTCTTGAAAGCACTGCTTCCCTTGGATCTGATTCGGCCTCTGAGATGTAAGGGCTCGTTTCTTCATCAGCTTCTGAGACATAACTCTCAAAAATTGAGGAGAAGCTTGAGCTTTTTGGGGAGGAAGGAGGTCTGTGAATTTCTTTCTGATGTTTTCCAAATCTAGGAGGGGTTCCTAGAATCAGATCTGAAGAGAACGTTGGTGTCTCTGGTGGGATTTTCACGCTACGCTCAATTCTTTCTGTGGCCAGCGCATAGGGATACTTCTTTAAGACTTCGGCCCAGGGAGAGTTGTGGGCTTGGGCCTCCTATCTTTCCAAATTTGAAAGGACTCTCGTCAGGAAAGGGGCCCACTTCTAGCGATCTGTTTGAAATTTGAACAGCTTTAGAGCAAGTAGCAGGTCCCACCCTGCTTTTTCGGCTCTTCTTTTTTTGAGGTCGAGAAAGGGATCTTTTAGTAAGACTTTGGGCCTGTTCGTTTCCTCTTAACTCTTATTTCTTAAGAGGAATCTTCCAACTTTAAGAGAAAATTGGTTGTTCGTTTCCTCTTATCTCTTATCTCTTAAAGTGCAATTATACAACTTTTTGTTTTCCAATGATACCCCCAAAAAGACAAACAAAAACTCTCATATATGGGGTCAAAATTGATATTTGATAGTTTTCAGAATTCAGAACAACATTTTCTGCATTCAAAGTTCAGAGGAAAGAAAAGTTCACCAATACCAATATACCTCTTAATGTAATTATTACACTTTCAAATGTCAGACTTCAAAGCAAACGAATAGGCCCTTCCTGTCGAGAGGTTACCTTCTGGCCTACGAAAATTTCTTGAAGTGGTTCTTGCAGGTACAGGAAGGTTTGGCCCTTCACCGAGGAGAGAGCGACGAGTTGACTCGGTCGTCTTCTCCACTTCTACTGAGATATAAAACCAGACTTTTCTATCTAGAAGAGGGATCAATCGAGGGATTGAATGAACTCCACGACTCTTCACTTTTATGTGAGCAAAGTTTAGGGCTTGAAGATTTGTCGTTTTGCTGTCGATCTCCACAAGAGCTCCACACAAGTTTCCGATTAGGGTAAACACTTCTTTGGTCCAAAGATGAAAGGGCAAGCCATGTATTTTTACCCATCCAAGGAAGTTTAGTCGGTCTGGAGCAATGTTTGCCATCGGAACCCAACGATCTAGACGAACTGGTTTTCCAAACAGAAGGATTTTTTCTAACTTGACCCACCTTAGGACTAGCTCCTCAGAAGGGGTGAAACCCACCGCTTTGTTGGCATTGAATGGAAAGAGACTCAAGATCTCTTTAGGGCTAACTTGACTTCTCTCCACAATAGGGAGTCTGCTTTAGAGTAGACAAATGTCTGCTTCAAGTTTCCGAAAGGTTTATTTTGGTGTACCACTAAGACGAAGGCAAAACTTCCAGCTTTTATGATTTTGCTTTTTTTCTCGAGTTGGGGGAAAATGTTCATGGTGGGGTTGAGTGGGTTAGAAATCTCTTTTGAGGGGATGTAAGCATTTAACAAATTGGCAAAGTTTTCCCAGCCTTCGTTAGAAGGTTCTTCTGGAATACAGATGTTTCTCAATTTGAGAGAATTTTCCCAGCAGCTCAGCCGAATAAACCTATCCATTTGTTCTCTCTTCGCTGAAGGATTAGAACTCTTCGCTTTTCATTTCGTTTTTTGTCTAGGAGTGGTCGTCTCTGATTTTTTACAACCTTTAGAATGAAATTTCTCCACCACTTTACTTCTTCCAAGGAAAGAACTAGCTTTGTCCAAGAACCTCTGCATCTTTCTATCACCTCGAGCAGTTCCTCTTCGTCACCTAAGAGTAGTTCCAAGTCGAAGGTCTTTTGGCTGATTGAAGCTACTCTTTTTCTGTTCCTCATCTTCATCCTCTATAGCTCTAGAGCCTGAGATTTGTCGTCGGTCGCCGATGTAGCTCTTGATTAAATCCACGTTCTCATGCTTGCGTCCATAATATCCAACTGAATGCAAAGAGAAGAGAATGGGAATGCAGAATGATTCCACAACTTCTGCTCAATGTGTGTGTAAACGTTCTTATAATAAGCTCAACCTCTTCTCTCCAACTGGTGGACTTGCTTTGTCTCCGCTTGTTCCTCAATTGTCTCCTCTCTCTTGCCGTCAACTGTCCACCTTTACCGAACTCAGGACCTTCTAACTCTTGATCAAATAGTGCTGCTTTAAGATCTTTAGAGGCAGGCTACCCCTTCTTTGGTATCGCTTCTGAAATGGAAAGAAGCCCAACCCCTCTACCAAACAAAAAAAGCAATAAGCATGGTGCAAATAAAAGAGGTTGAGCTGAAGACCACCATTCATCATATCCAATTCAGTTCTTACCCCAATTCTAACGTAGTCGAATGATCCTAACATTCAGTTCATGTCATTCTGTTCAACATTATAGGGGGATCAATTATGGATATTCTAGAAAGGAAAAAGGCAATGTTTTAAAAAGTAGAGGCATGACACAAGGCATTCTACCACTTGGAGCTGTGATACATAGTTCAGGACGCAAGAGGCATAAACCTCCTGAGCACAAGGAGGCATAAGTATTGTGTATATTTTGCTGTTATGGTTTTATGTGGCTGGGTTCATATAGAGTGTTCTATGATTAGTTTTTTGGGGTCTAGGGGTATGTGCCCCCAGTGGAGCAGTGAGGCAGAAACCCTGCAAACCAACAAATCTGTACAAGGGCATTTTGATAATATTGCAATAAACAACTTTAGAGGATTTTCATCCTCTGCATTATGTCAATATATAGTGGAGAACATGATAAAATGGTTCCGTCACTTTTATCTATAACACTTTGATTATAAAAATTGACTTACAAGTGCTTTTTAAAAGCTCTTGTATAAAGCACAATAGAGGCGTACAACTCTAGGCTGTGCCTCCAGGCTTTTCCTTAACACACCACCTAGATGCATATCTCCAGGAGTTCACCACCAGTGCTTTTTAAAACACTCGGGAAAGGTCTACAGGTCATATTTGAAGATAAAGAATTATCCAATCAGGACAGATTAGCAATAAAAAGGTCAACCCCAGGAAATTATGCATGCCAGGAGTCTATAAGAGAAAAAGGACAATGTACTGCAACCATCCCCCTGACTTTAAGTTTTCTTCTTGGGTGACAGTAAATTACAGACAACTCCTTCCGCAAAAGATGAACATGTTTATCAAGTTAAAGAAATATACCACAGTTAAATTTAATAGAACTAGACTAGGTTAATAGTTGGTACTACCTGCTTTTTGTACAGCCAAGAGTAGATTTCTGAACATTGATGGATTCTTGTGACACCAATAACTATCAAAAACCCAAATTACATCATAAACTTACCAGAAAGTATGACATCTTCCATGTTTGCAGACTTGCGGCCCGCATGATGTGCAAATAGTTCCAAGTCTTTTGCCAACTGCTCTGCTTTTTCAGATGGTAAACCATTCATTAATTCAGACTGGCTTTGCCAAATAAATATCAGACACTATGAAACACAAGAAAACTGCAGCACAAACTCTGTTAAGTGATGATCTATAAATGTAGCATTATTAATTTGTGATGTCAGATCACTGCCTCATGGCACTGTTTATGGAGGATTTTTGTGGTGGCTCCACTCCTTTTAGATTAAAAAATGTGCATCTCACCTACCCATCCTTCAGACCAAACAACAAGCAAAGGAATGAGTCCAACCTTCGTTTTTCTTGTCACAAGGTTCTCATGTGCCTCATTGTTTTTAGAACTTAGACCAATCAGTCACGTCTCAAGTTTATACAAAATTTTATCCAAGGCCTTAGCAAATAGACTTAAGGATATAATGAATAGTGTTATCTCACCCCAACAAGGGACCTTTGTGACAAACTGACAGATTTTAGATTGAAAATTGAAATTTGATTGCAAATGAAGTTTTCAAGGAAATGCAATCAATGAGAAGACAAGGATGTGTGACCTAGAGAAGGAATTTGACACATAGATTGGGGCTATTTAAGATGGCTCTTGGGAAAATGGGCTTTGGAAGGTTTTGGATAAATGGATGACAAGCTGCATTACAATTCACTCCAGAATCTTCTGTGAAAAAAAAAGGTTTGAGGTCTAAATGCTTGTCCTTAGAAGCTGGGTGCAGTGTGGCAAGTTATGTGCCTAGCAGAAAAACATCAGTACCAACTTGGGAGAGGCCAGCTACTGTTAAACTAAAAATAAACTTTGATAGAGCAATAGAAATCATGAAGGAGAGCCCGTGCTAAGTTATTGTGGCCCAACAGGGGTAGGAATTCTTTGAGAGTTAAAACCTTAGCACTGCTCCAAATGCTGAAGCTGTGCACCATTCATGGATGGTTTAATCTCATCATTAAAGGCAAGTACGAGATTATGATTGATGGGCTCACATCAAGAGAAAAGGGCCCTTGGATTCTCAAATATCCTTTGAGAGAAATCAAATTACTTGTGTCCAGCATGACATTCAAATGGATACTCCAGGCTGCAAACAACCTAGCAGACAATGTTAACTAGGTAAGACGTGAGCAAAAATGTTTTGTACTGGGGACTACCTGTTCCAAGGAAGGATTTGTACCAAATTTAAGCTTGTTCCTATGTTTTCAAGGACAGCCTTGGAGCTGCTTATATCCTTTTGCCCTATAATTCTTCCTGGATTGTATGGCTCTCCTTTGAAATGAATGCATTGCACATTACTGACAAAAAAAATCTATAAATGCAGCATATATTGCATCTAAACAAGTTTTCAATAGCAAGGTTGTATTTTAGTTTGTAATTGAGTCATGATTTAGAAATGATAATGATGTATATGATGCATAAACACATATAGCTTATGACTCTAAGTGCTAGAATAGGATCCTTAACTGATGGATAAAGAATTTTATGCCCAGTTACAAACTTCATTGTTTTTCTCTAGTTCATATCTGAGGCTCGACCTAACATTAAGCTAATGGAAAAGAAAGATCATCAACAGTTGATCTATCTGATTTAAAAAATTATTGGAGGTAGCAATATTATGATATAAGTATATAACTAGAATAACATACAAAAAGAATAAAGAATGAAATAAGGTGGAAACAAAGATGATAGTGAAACTTTAGAAGAGAATAATGATAATACCATATATGGGCAAAATTCTCAGGAAGAAAACCCATTGAACAATGATGGTGCTTGAACTATTTGATGGAACGGAATGATGTTATACCATCATTCAAAAATATTATGTATAAGAATAGTATCACTGAAACACAACTTAACTCAACAAAGCATCATCCCAATTAATACATATAGTATTATGATCAAAGATTTTAGAAGCGATACCAAATGAAATGTATAATCTTGCAATTAATTGGTTGGTAGATGCAAGCAATTAACAAACTCTGCCTACATGAGTTTATCTTACACTGCTGGTCTCAAGCCTGGATAAAGGAAGGTTGCATTAGGTTGTCAGCCAGCATGTAAAACTTTTGCCAAACTCTTCTCAATATAGTTGGGATAAGGTTTGGATGGAAAACAAACTAGATTGTTGATTCAATTTAGTGCTGAGAATGTCCAATAACAAGTATCAGATCAAACAAAACAAACTCTAGTTTCTGCTTTCTGCCAGCCTAAGTGGCATGAAGGCTTTTGACTGAGACTTTGCTATCTACAACACTTAACAAAAAAAAAAAAGAAAAAAAAAAAAACTAAGGGGTATAGAGGTCTTTCTCCCAAATAAATGGCATAAGAAGATGCCATTTACCAGGAAAATAAAGGCCTCAGTGATCTAAATTTCCTGAAGTAGGAGGAATTTTACCTGAAATCTTGAAGGATACAATATTTACCCAAAGACTTAAATGGTACAGAGACGGATGTTTACCGGAAAGTTTTAAAGAACTACACTAACATAGTAATATAATTGACATCAAGAAAGGTTTGTCGCCTAAAAATCGAAAGACTATAACACTGACCCGGCAATCTAAATGTAAAATGAGAGGGATTTTTACCTGAAACTTAGAAGAAACGGACTAACCCAATAATTAAAATGGCATAAAAAGGGGATTCTGTTGCCTGGAGCTTTCCAGGCTACAGTACTGACCCAATAATCTTAATGGCACAAAATAACAAGGTTTTACCTGAAAATTTAAAGGCGAGGTCGGCTATGCACTCCATGACTGGCTGGGATATCTCCATTTCATTTCTTTTGGCTGCTCGATAACCAACTCAAATGGAGATACTGTATTAAAACAACTGATGAATCACAGCAACACCACAAAAAAGAAGTTATAGATTAAAAACCTCGTAAAAGAATCCTAACCTTCAGCCTCCGCAATTGAAACAGCGAAGAGTCGGAACCGATCCCTCAAGAGCTCTGTTTCTGCTTCGTCTTCTTCTCTCCCGAAATTGCTTTCCCCTTCTTCCATTAGATAGGGTTTTCCCTTATTTCTTCTGCCTTGATTCGTTCAGAGACAAATGGCGGGAAATATAGGCGATATGCATATGCCCAAGCCTGGCGCTGTCCGGCGACACACCTGGCATACGGATGTTTCATTTAAGCCCGCTCCCGGCCTGACTGACACAACGGGTCCAAGCTTGGGCCCATTCGCCGATGACCCAGTAGTTCGGATGGTAACTTGCGTCGAAGTCACATCTGCCCCCTCAGAATGCGCCCCAAAAAGCCCGACAGCACATTTCAACCGTGTATTGGAAATATCTCCCAATAACAAGTACGGAAGATATTCTCAACGCACGCTGAGATGTGTGTGTGGGGCGTTTTTGAGGCGCGTTTTGTAGTGAGGGGGGCAGATGTGAACTAACTTGCGTCCGTCTAAAAGAGGAGGCCCGGGTACGGGCTCGGGCTCAAGCCCGCGTAAGGCGTAACGGCAGTCGGCAGGCTCCCCGTGATAAGTCGGTGGATCTCACGTCCACACTCAACGTTGCTGCTCTTGTCTCCATGATTCCATTCCATTCCATGAAGCCCTCTCGTGTATAACAAACTATTAACCAATTACCCAATTTTGCATGTATTATGCTTGGACATGGTCCAGTCATGTTCATTTGATCTCGCCTTCTAAAATGTTCACTTGATCTCCCACAAGTCATCTTGGTAGGTTCTTGTTTTCTTTTTAATACGAGAAAATGAAGGATAGTTGATAAGTTCTGTCAACTAATGATTGTAATAGATTGAGCTGCGCAATTCATTGACTGGGTTTTTAAATCATGGATGTGCCTCCGCCAGATTCTCTCCACGATCATAAAGGCTGTATAGATTGCTTGGTGTCTGAAGTTCCTCCGAACGGTAAGGATATGGAAGACAGAGGTGCAGAGAAGAAAAGACCGGTAGAGAGGAGAGTCAGTGCGAAGCTTCAGAACCGGCCGAAGAATAAAAGGCCTTATTAGGGCAGTAACCTGGAGGAGGAATCAGATTCAGCCATGGAAGGTAGAATTGGCAAGAACAAAATTAAAGTGTACAGGAGGAGAACAACGGCTTTTGCAAATTTGGGTGGAATAACAGCAATAGAAGGGTAAGTTTCTGTTAAAAATAAACTCCGGATGTACAATTACTAGTGTAACTTCTAGATGAACTCTGTAGCATTAGCACTTCTATATCTGTAAAATGTGACCTTTTAATAACTAATACTACAAAAATCTGCACATGTTGGAAATTTAATTAAATTTGGACATGTTGGAAATGACATTGAATTTCAAAAGCTAAATATAAATGCATGACATAAGCATATATTATTGGATACCCATATTCTATCTGTATCCAGGATTTTAGGAATGGAGAGTTGTATCCCTGTTTCCCATATCTATATCTGGGCATCATACATCATCCTTCCTAAATAATTAGGTTTTGGAGGATTCTAAGGGTGTAGTAGGGAAGAATTTGTTTTAAGTTGGTTCTTTATGGCTGTAGGTGTTGAATAGCAAAATTTTTTGTTAAAGGAGTTTTCTTCCAATGAGCTTTCTTAGCTGATTATGAAAAAAATAGAAAGAAAAAACATGGAAAAATATATGGTGCATTTTTTATTGATAACCAAGAACTTTATTAATAGCATTAGCTTGTTGAAATAATAAAGTGCATGTACATGTTCCAAGCACCCCTTTTATATATTGTTGGGATAGCCCTATGCCATGACCCAATTTTAGGCATCCTGTCTTAGGTCTGATACCCTTGTTATAACCTTGACTATGCCCTTGTCCCATAGGTAGAGTCAGCCTAGCCCTGCCTGCCCAAGATTTTGCCTTCGCTTGGATGCTTGTGAAGACACACCCCCTTGTGCACTCCTTAGTACAGCTGTGTGCTCAAGACCCTCACCCTAACACACACAATAAATTGCACACACGTTGGCTTGGGTAATTAACAATATTTTCATTACACCATACAACAATACATATGATGGTACAATTGTGGATGAACTATGGAATGCTTGAGGATGTCCCAAATGAGAGAGGTCTTTTCCTATTTATAGGCTTTTTTGTTGCCCAGGTAGCCTAACGCAAAGTGGATAGGGGGTGTGAATTGGGTTCTACAACTTTCCTCCCCCAACTAAGGCCTTCTAAAACTTGAGTGCTATGCAAGAATATTAGAGAGCAATAATATGAAGTAATCAACAAGAAATGGAAAGAAGAATGAGAAGAGTAGTCAAACAGAACACACAAGATCTATAGAGGTTTGGCCAAACTAGGCCTACGTCCTCTCCCCAGGCACACCATCTAAGAATTTCCACTAAACCAGCTAGACTTCCTGAGTACCAGCAAAATCTTTACACCACTTGGACTTTATAGATGCCAACAAGACCTTTACAACAATTGGGCTTCCTAGGTGCCAACAAGACCTTCAAACAAAGACTTATGGGTGCTACCCAACCTTTATAGTGTTCAATCCTTGAATAGTCGCCAACTATCAGCTAGAAACCACTAGCTAATCAAGTACAACAAGTATAATGATAAGATAAACAAATAATGCACAAGATAATGCCTTTACTAGGCAGATATGCAAATGCAAGAATGAGCACAAACAAATATGGGCTATGCACTTGAAGAGACTAAAGATTCTTGGAGAAAATCAGTGGAGCACAAATAGTGTTTTCAAGTTTTTCTCCAAGGATAAAACTTTCTCAGCTCAAAATTTCTTCACTTTAAGTTGTTCTCTTTCTATTGCTCTTTTTTTTCTTTTGGCACTTTAGCTCATTGCACTTCCTTGAGTTTTTCAGCTCAAACATGCATATATAGCCTGAATCAAGCTTAGAGAGCTTGTATCCGTTATAAAGCTATTGGGAAGAGATTAAACCACTGTATAAATGTTTAGAGATTGTTCCCAAACTTATTGAAGGCTTACTGAAAGAGGAAAGAGCCATCGAGCCTTCAAATGGTAAAAAATCTCCATTTTTTTCGTGAAGTAGTTGACTGCTTCAATCATGTTAGAAGTAGGTAGTCGACTACCAAGTTCAAGTAGGCAACTACTACTCATAGGAGAGAATCTTTTCTTTATTGTAGTCAACCACTACCTCTTGGTAGTCAACTACTAGATGCACCTTGTTCTCAGCTATTAGAGTTAGTCAAATACTACCTTTTCATTAGTTGACTACAGGCCAGAGCTAGTGTGACACCAAGCTTGGTTGTCACAGGGTAGTCGACTACTACCTCATAAGTAGTTGGCTACTCAGTGACACCAGTCTTGGCTATCACAGGTAGTCGATTACTGCCTTATGGGCAGTCGACTATTGATTATGTCCAACCTTAGAACATTTAGGTGGACAACTCCAAGGGTCTAGGAGTTGACTTCTTAGGCCTTTATACTTAGAATTTTCACAATTAATCTAGGTTTAAAATCTGGGGAAAGCCTAGCCACTCTTTTTAACTTAGCCATTGGTATCTAAGGTTTTGGTAATATTGAGGTAGGTCTTAGTTAAGCCCATTGTAGTGCATATTGCAAATGATTACATTGTCCTAAAAGAAATAAACAAGTTTGAAATTCTGGAGCTTGATGTCTTCTTTTTCTTCTTGTTCGTGGTACATAACTTCTTGCTTGGAGAGAGTTTAATTCATCATCTGATATAGCTGCTCTTCTATTCCTTGGATCATCATTGATTTCAAGGAGTTTGTCATCAAGTCTTTTCAGTTCATCTAAGGAATCTTCTAATACAACTGCACACTTGTCTTTCCACAATATTAGAGAATAAACCTCTAGCCAAAGGCTTGTTTCCATATATGTTCAGTGAGTGCATTAGAGAATAAAAACCTATTCAGGGACCTCACCTAACAGCTTAAGCTTTTAGGTTGAATGACTCCTTGATATAGTATCAGAGAGACCTGTTTGACCAAGTAGTCTAGTATTCGATCCTCGCCACCTCCATTATAGTTAATTAAATTTCAGCACAAGGTATGGTTGGGCTTGTGCTTGTCCACACTTCAAACCTGATGGGCTTTCACGTGAGGGGGTGTGTTAGAGAATAAAAACATATTCGGGGACCTCACCTAACAGCTTAAGCTTTTAGGTTGAACAGTTCCTTGGTAACATTTAATACCTAGGGGATGATAACAATACAGGCTCTGCCCATGTGGAATCTCCATGATCAATGTTTCCAGAAAAAAACAACCATAATATTTCTGTGGCTATTCCTGAGAACACCACCAATACCTCAATGGCTAGGGACTGGGGGTTACCCAGGCTACACCTTTCAAAATTTAACTTGGTATGATTATCTAATGGAAGGGACTGAAGAGAGGAGCTTAAGGTCTTAGCTGAAGATGAAGCAGCCTGCCTGCCACCACTTGCCATTTCCTAATTATGTGATTATGCCATCAAAGGATAAAGGGGGCAAAGATCTTCAAGTCTTAACCCAATGCACCACCTTAATTGAGATATTCTCCATCACTATATTGCAGAGTCCACTACATTGCAGTCCTTGTGAATCTCCAAAAAAATTATATCATAGAAAATATTTCTGTTAAATTGGCATATTAAGTAAAGTTATTGGATGTCTTTTCCCTTTTTGAATACTCAAGACATCATTCGGAATTGGCGAACTGTGTCTTGTTCATCAACACCAAGGAGAATAGCAAAAGGGTTATGGACTCCATCTTGTTGTATTTCTCAAAACTTTAATGCTTTCAGGTGTTTCCAATCCTCAAAAATTTTGCTAGCAATATTGTCATATGTTCTTTTTCATATGTACCATAATCCTAGTTTGCTTAATTTTTTGACTTGGTTTTATTGTCTGGAAGTTTTGTGGATGGTATATTACATGCATACAGACAGGCATACTAGAAACTCTCTAGGTTCATGTTTCCTTTCTTTTACGTTATCATTGTTGGATTTCCTTCTACCATGTCACCAAAGTTGTCCTCTTGTGATCAATTCCTCTTCCCCTATCCTTACACTCTTTTTTCTCTAAATGTAGTGTCTACCATGTGCTCCCTTAGCACCGCTTTATAGTTGTCAAGGCGACGCCTAAGTGACAAGGTGCCCTTGGAGGCTCACCTCGCCTAATTGCCAAGCAGTTTTCTATAGCATGTTATAAAAAACTTTTATATTCTTAATTTTTTGAGGTTATAATTATAAAATAGACATTTTTAAACTAAAATATTCATTTTGTGTATTTATACACTAATTTCTTTTTATTATTTTCTTATTTGTTAGGTTTTAATCAACACAAACATTGCTAAATGCTGTATTGAACCTCAAAGACTTCAAAACCTGAACCAATAAGTAAAGAAGAACATAAAATGTTGTCCAATCAACACATTTTCTTCTTTTTCTTTACTAATTTTGTGTGTTTATATACTAATTTCTTCTTCTTCTTCCACCTTTTCTTTTCTTCTTTTCCTATAACAGAAATAGGGGGTCAGCCCCTATATTTTTTTAATTTTCTTTTATTTCTTCTTTTTCTTCTCATGAATTTGTTGGAATATGTTGATTTTCTATACTTTAACATGAAATGGATACTTTTTTATGAGACTGAAAAGAACCCTATTTTTGTCCCCTAATTTTCATCTTTTTACATACTTTAGCACTTAAATGAACTCATTACTTTTGTATTTCGATTCAAGGCAATAAAGAAGGCAATTGGAAGAAAACAGGGCAAATCGAGTGATTTGCACAGTTTCGGCAACAGTCAGTAATCTGGGCCTAACTCTCAATTCCGGACTCCGAATCGGACAATTCAAGAAGCATTAGAAAGATGAAAGGAAGGCCCACAACTTTTATGTTTTGGGTTTTGACAAATTCGGCCCGCATCGAGTACGAAAACGAGCCCGAAGTCGGAGCAAGTTCGCAACCAGGCCCATTTCACAACTTAAGCCCAATTCGCAGAAGTACCTTGAAGCAGCCCAAGTTTTAAAGCAACCCAACTCGAATTCAAGAGTCAAGAGTCCAAATTTCGAAAGTAATCTCTAAGGAGAGAGTCTTATCAGATCTAAAGTCTTGAATGTAATCCTAGAGAGATAAGAAGATTGAGAT